TGTTTCTATATCAAGACACTCAATAACTTTCATATTTGTATAATTTCCTGGACCCGGATGTCACGCAGGTAGCTATAGCTGCCTCCGTGGTGATTTTGATAGTTTTCTTGTGAACACGAGATCTATCAACTGAAACCACAAATGTGCGGTTGGCTCCTGTTGGTGGCTCCGTGCATTTGTATTTCTATCTTTTGGTAACCAAGAGTTGCCCATCCTCACACTTGGCTGCACCATACTGATGATGGGCCAAAATCCCAAAATACGTGTTTATTATTAACTTCTGCATCTATATCAAAATACTCAATAACTTTCATATTTGTATTATTTCCTGGACCCGGATGTCACGCAGGTAGCTATAGCTGCCTCCGTGGTGATTTTGATAGTTTTCTTGTAAACACAAGATCTATTAACTGAAACCACAAACGTGCGGCTGGCTCCTGCTGGTGGCTCCGTGCATTTGTATTTCTTTCTTTTGGTAACCAAGTGTTGCCCATCCTCACACTGCGCCATACTGATGATGGGCCAAAAGCCCGAAACACGTGTCTATGGTTTGCCACTAAAACATACTACAAATACACTTTATTCCTGAAAACATTTCGATCCTGAAAAATCTGAATTTGTCTCACTTCTCATGGAAACACCTCGGTATCTTCCGTAATTATTGAAGTAGATTTTTGTTCGGTTTTGACATCAAAACACGAACCCGTCCTAGAAAATCAGAATTGACTTTTGTTTTTAAATAAATAATTAATGTTTAATTTTGGGTAAGGAAAGTTATTCTTTCTCGCAAAGTCAAAATGTTTTTGTGGCGAAAAATTGTATGTTGTTCAAAACTCTTTCGAAGTAGAACTTTCAAAATCAAAACAATCAGTTTCAATTGATTTGATTGTTAACAATTTTATATTTTTGTTCCTGCTATCAAACTTCCCTCTAAGCGAACACATTTTTCTATGCGCCTATTATTTCCTCCAGCTCTTCTCAGGTCTCTAGGTGTGATCTGTCTATACCTACGCTGTATAAATCTTGGACGGAGATCTTCCCTATTTGTTGGCCTAGGTAGGTTCATATTCAAGGAAACCCTTGTTATATCACTATTGTAAACTGGTGAATCATCTAACTGAAAAATCATATTGAGTCTCACATCTAAAAATGTCTTGCATCGAAAAATACATTTTCGAGAAAATCAACAAATTGTTGTCCGTTTAGATTTTGATTTAAAAAAATGGCCCCGAAATAGTTCTGTTCAGAATACCACACTCATTAATTTTCTGGAATATTTGGTCTGTAAAATTCACCACCCAATTCGGATTTTGTCCAGCCCAAAATCTCATGTTCTGGGAAGATACAAACCATTCGTGGTGAAGGAAGCCTCATCACTGTATAAGGTATACTTCAAAAAATGCCTGTCATTGAGATAATTTCCCTGCATCCATACGGCGGATTTCATCTCCTTCGTGCAAGGTATTTTAATAAAGGACCCCGCACATTTCTTATGAGAAATGACTTGCCGTAAATTTTGATGTAATTTTGATCTGCTGTAGTTCTTGATGTGCTGATTGAAAGTATCCACTGCCAAAGCACAGTTTTCGATATGTGAACCTTTGATTGTTTCTATTTTTGCGTTATTTGCTCAACAATCCCAGAACTATCACTTCTGGTTGAGATAGAATTTGAATGTTCTGCACCCAGAATTAGTTGTGAAAATGTTCTTCCTTAGTTATATAAGATGCCGCCATCGTTAATTTTTCATATACTGTTCCACACTATCTCGATAATCTGAGAATGTGGTGTTTTGACATTTTCCTCATTAAGGTGGTACCTACCTCAATTACCTCAATTATTACGGAAGATACGAGGGTGTTTCAATGAGTGGAAGATACTGAGGTGTTTCCATGAGAAGTGAGACAAATTCAGATTTTTCAGGACTGAAATTTTTTCAGGAAAAAAGTGTATTTGCAGTTCGTTTCAGTGGCCATGGACACGTGTTTCGGGCTTTTGGCCCATCATCAGTATGGTGCAGTGTGAGGATGGGCAACATTTGGCTACCAAAAGAAAGAAATACAAATGCACGGAGCCACCAGCAGGAGCCAGCCGCACATTTGTGGTTCCAGTTAATAGATCTTGTGTTTACAAGAAAACTATCAAAATCACCACAGAGGCAGCTATAGCTACCTGCGTGACATCCGGGTCCAGGAAATAATACAAATATGAAAGTTATTGAGTATCTTGTTATAGATGCAGAAGTTAATAATAAACACGTGTTTTGGGCTTTTGGCCCATCATCAGTATGGTGCAGCCAAGTGTGAGGATGGGCAACTCTTGGTTGCCAAAAGAAAGAAATACAATGCACGGAGCTAAAAAGATTTTCATTTTTTTCCTAACCGAATCCCCAAAAAACCACTCTTCTTTCTCTCCAAACAATATGAAAAAGAAGTGTTATTGAGTGTCTACGATTAAATTCAAAAAGGGAAGATGAGTTGGAACAGCATTCAGGAAAATTGATGGCAAACCGCGAAAACGTGTTTCTGGCTATTGGCCTTATTAGCGCGGTGTAGCCAAATGCAAAGATGGACAACACTTGGTTGTCGAAAACGGGAAGACAGCACAAACAAACGTAGTCAAAAACAGGAGACTACCGCATATTCCTGATTCTAGTTAGGAGACCTAGAATTCCTAGTATATCCTAACATTACCACGGATGCAGCTACAGCTACCGGCTCCTGTTGTTGACTCTGTTCGTTTGTGCTATCTTCCCGTTTTCGACAACCAAGTGTTGCCCATCTTTGCACTTGGCTACACCGCGCTGATGAGGCCAACATCGCGGTTTGCCATCAATTTTTCTTGATGAATGCTGTTCCAACTAATCATTCCTATTCAGTCATATATATATGACATGCTAAAGGTTGCCCCTTTCCTCTCATGCAGACCTAAAACTTTTTAGGGACGTGTGGCAGATACCCAACGGAAAAACAACAACTAACCCAGCTAATGCCGCGCAGACAGTTGAAGTAAAACCATCAGGCACCTGTGCAACATCTTCGACTTGGAAGATTCGTCGCAAGTTATTTCCCACTATGAAAAGCAGAAATTAATTTCGTTTGGTCGATGCGACCAACCGATAGCCGATTTCGGGTTACTTGCCCCATACCGGGCATGGTCTCTTCAGAACGGTGTCAACCGTCTGATGATATATATACAGTAGAATTCATATATAACGACTATCCGTTTACAGCGACGATAATGTTCACTTAAGTTTAGTTTCATATTTAGTTATTGAGAAAATATACCATTTAGTGCGACTCCGGTTTAAGCGACCAACCGCTTATAGCGACCGTTTTTCAAGATAATACATCCGGTTAATACGTCGCGCAATGTTTTATTTACACAATCTGCGGACCAATACTTCGGCGCACTCCCTCTTCTTAGGTACCTCTATTGCAAGGTACTACTAACAGGTAGTATTCTTAGGAACCTCTATTGATTGGTACTACTAACAAATATCAATAGATTGATTTTACGCCAGAGGTTCCAGTATGAAGTCTTTGTCACTTGTTGTAAGGCCATAAAGTTCGACAAAATGAATTCTGTGAAGCGAAAGTATGTATATAAGTTCCAGTAGCTTGACTGCATTAACCTTGCTCGATTTCATATCATTTCTAGAAACATGTGAATTCGTTTTCCGATGGCATTTCAGGTTAGCTTCCCAAATTTCTACCACTGCAGTTGTCGGTTGATTGGTCAAACCACCAACAATGACATAAAAACTTGGCAAGTTGACTTGGTTGTCACACCAATACGTGGTTCCACTTATGTATCGCTTGCGTTTACGCAGTTATTTCTATTAAGTACTTTTCTTGGTTTTTCTTATTTTGTCTTCAATCGAGGACCGCCTGCCCGGTACTGACGATGCCCAATAGGCTGAAACAGCTGTAAACCAAACATGAAATGATATCAGAATTTAACGTAGCATCTGAATATGTAATGATATACAGGGCGTTCTATTTTAAAAAATGGAATTTTGGTCTGTAGCACCTTTACCAAATCTCCTGTATATTTAAAAATTATATCAAAATATAGCTCTCATGAACTCCTAAAACTTTTGTATGAAACATATATATTGCTACATATAAATATATTGCTCTATTTTTTTAATGGCCGTTATTTTCCACTCGGGCGTATTTGACCAGGCTCCTCCTGTTAATTGGCAGGAGCTTCGTCGGGGGGCGCAGCGGTCTTGCTTAGCGTACATAAACATTCTTCATATTCATCAAAATTCTTATAGAACTGATGACCTCATCGACATCCTTCCTGGTTACTGGCGTAGGGGGCCACCAGTCCCCTCAATTATTCTTTAATTTCGATATTCATGCAATCGTGACGTTATTTATTTTACTACACCTCCACTCCGACCACAACATCCACGTGCCAACTTTGAGGGCGGTCGTTATCGGCACAATCATCCTTTCTCGCGGTCGGAGAGTAAGTCACCGAAAACGGCAAATTATAACAGTATAATAAGATGAATTTATTTTGACGCTACTAATGACAGTAATGACTTAATTTTTGATGTTCTGTTATCATTGTTTTTCGAAATTTCGAAAGGAGAAGTGAGTATTTTGTAAAATATAGCATTCAGACGACTTTTCTTAATGAACGAATACATTTTTTGTAGATATCTTACCAACATTTCAAAAGCTGGCCCTTCCCAAGAGTCCCATATTGTTACTATAGGTAAAACTGATGAAATCTAGAATGAGGATGAGAATGGAAGATAGTGATAATCAGAGTATGAATAAGCTAAATTCTGAGAGTCAGAAAACTAACAACAGTGACAAGAAAAATTATAAGAAGTATGGAGAAATTAGTAACAGTGATATTGAAGAGTATCCACCTAAAATGAAGGCTTCTGATGTACAAAGAAAATGATATCCGCAAATACTCAAAAAGGATTTGATGACAAGGAAAGTACAATAGTATTTTCTGTAAAATTTGTCATGCCAGAATTGTTAGAGGCAAGTGTCACATCGATCGACATGAAAAAAACCAAGAAAGCTGCTTGGAATAATGTAAGAATAAATGAAATTCTCGTTCAAAAATTTATTTTTCGTTTATATAAAAATGTATATTTTTATTCAAGAGTGTTTTTTTTGTTTTAATGTTTCATTTTGAACGAATGTTTCAGGTGAATTTCAAAAGATTATTTTTCATTCAAAATTAGGTAATTTGAATTACCCGCCTCTCAAGGTCAATTTTTATATGACGTCATTGACTTACTGATATCGCAAAAAGTACAACCTAAAAAATTTAGTAATCTAGTACTTTATATCTGAATCTGGTACGAAAAATAGTTCAAATCTAGTACAATAAGTTTCAACCCAGGAACATCACCACAGAATAGTAAACAATTGTTTACTATTCTGTGTGTTTACTATTCTGTGACCGACATCTGCTACCGCAGTTGTCGGTTGATTGGTCAAACCACCAACACTGACATAAAAACATAGCAAGTTGACTTGGGTGTCATACCAATAGGTGGTTCCACCTATGTTTCGCTTGCGTTTACGCAGCTATTTTGATCAAGTACTTTCTTGGTTTTTCTCATTTTGTCTTCAATCGAGGACCGCCTGCCCGGTACTGAGGATGCCCAATAGGCTGAAACAGTTGTCTACCGGTGGCTTTTAAATTGAAATCAATATGGGGAATGATCAAAGAGTACTTATCTATGCCGATAGTGACCGCTCACAAAGAAGGTACGCGAACGCCATTGTTGGAGGTGGAACTCATGTTGTGTATGTCCGTCGTTTTCTAACGTGCATGCAAATGTTGAAAAAGTGATTATAAACATTGTTTTAGTGTATTCGAATAAATAGTGCTACCATTCACGCTGGTTGGAGGCCGAGGTGGACCGGATGTCCACGTGGGACGGCTAAAGTGAAATAATTATATAATACCTACTCTCATTCACGCCGGTTGGAGGCCGGGGTGGACCAGATGTCCACGTGAGAGTAGGATTGCAATAATAATCTTTTATGAGAAAGTCGTAAAATTTATATCACGAGAAGAGATAAATCTAATTAAGAAAACAGAAGTCTTGGATACACCATGATTCACAATCAGACCAAGCTGTAACCATTCGAATCGAGCTGGCTAAATGCGCCTATCTGGAAGCAAAGGCCAAGAACTTTGAGTGAAGTGAAGTGAGATATGAGGTTAAGTTCATGTGTTCTTAGTTTTTGTGTTGTGAATTATGATATAGTGGTAAAGGAGATATACAAATCTGTATTTTTTTAATTTTACTTGTAAGAGTTAGTCATAGCCACGTCTATGTCAAAATGATGAATTCAAGTCGAGATCGAGAACCTAATCACCATTCTGCATCTGGAAGTCATCCTCATTCTTCTATGATGAATATGCGAGAGAAAGAAAAGTACATAGAAAATTTCGCTTTTCCTTATTGTGATTTAACAGAGAAATATGAAAAAGTGGCCAAAATTGGACAAGGAACTTTTGGGTAAATATTTTATCTTCATTAGAAAATGAACTAGATATCTATTGTTTACTTTCCTCACAGAGAAGTTTTCAAGGCAAGAGATAAGAGTAACCCCAAAAAATTTGTGGCTATGAAAAAAGTTTTAATGGACAATGAGAAAGAGGGAGTAAGTGACTAAATGATCCCATATTCTTTACCAATTTTTACCTCTATACTTGTTTTTAGTTTCCGATTACAGCTCTTAGAGAAATACGAATACTGCAGTTATTGAAACACGAAAATGTAGTAAACTTGATCGAAATTTGCAGAACAAAGGCTTCCCAACATAATAGATATCGTTCAACGTTTTATCTGGTTTTCGATTTTTGTGAGCACGATCTAGCAGGTTTGTTATCCAATGTTAACGTTAAATTCAGTTTGGGTGAGATCAAGAAAGTTATGCAGCAACTTCTCAATGGACTTTACTACATTCATAATAACAAAATTTTGCATAGAGATATGAAGGCTGCAAATGTATTGATAACCAAGAATGGAGTTTTAAAACTTGCTGACTTTGGGCTAGCAAGAGCATTCAGTACCAGCAAAAATGGAGTACCAAATCGGTAAGGAAATGGTTTCATACTTGAAAATTTATTTTCAGAGCAGTCTAGTGTTTGTGTCAAGTCAACCAGGCTGTTGTACCGAGTATGCAACTACGTTATTATTAAGCTACCCTACTAAAGATAAATGATATTTTGGGTTAGGCATAGACTCTTTTTTCCAGCTAGAGAATCGATTCAGATAGTAGAGTTTTTCAAAATTTCAAATTCTTCCACAGAATATATGGCTGTTCACGTAAAGCAGAAATAAATTGTTTTGGTATATTCTTCTAGTATGGGAAAGCTTCTATTCCTGTCTATAAGCTGGCAGAACCAAACTGAATTCCTTGACGATTTCGAAAATTTGAATTATAAATAAAACCATCAATCTTGGCTTAGTGATAATATGTGAAAAAATCAGCAAATAATCATATTGCCCCAGAGACAGATTCATTCTCCCTATGTAGACAATCTAACAATATATTGGGGCTCCTCAAGACGATCAGTTGCAAGGCCAAGCTTCGAAATCGATTGCCTGAAAGAGGTTCGTCTTCTGTCTCTCACTGCAGCTTTCACTGCAAGGGAGCTAGAGGAACTTTTGATCCAACACCATCAGCGCAGTTTCAACACACCACATATCTAGCCTTGCAGTAAAAGACAGATGATGAATCTCTTTTAGACAATCAATGTGAAAGTTTGGCTTTGCAACTGATTGCCTTGGGGAGTCTCTTTTATCATTGATATACGAGGACTGAGTTTTCTGTCGATCCCATAGATGGATCTTCATAGTGGGAAATGTCAACGCCTTTATTTACAGCGTAAAGAGAGTTTAAAATAAATTCTGAGATATATTGCTTTCAAACTGAAATTATCTAGCAACAATTATGCTCTACCTAAAACATGTTCATTTATGAAAAGCATTCTCCTTTCTCCCAAATTGTTTTAAATTAAAACAGAGTATACTATAGACCTTTTTTGTCTTTCTGATATAAAAGTTTGTGATTCGTCATAATCCACTGCCTTGAATTGATATTTATTTCTTTATATCTTACTTATTAATATCTTTATGACATTTCAATTGTTATTATCCACAATCGTCTTTAGGTGAAACCTGGACTATTCCTGATAATGCAGATTATTTATGGATCACTTGGTTGCTCTCACCATCTTGATTGGTGTAGAGATTAAGAAGGGATAGTTTTTAATAACCGCATTATACTGTAATATATGTCTCAGAGCAAAAAGTATAATGTCAGAGAAATTTACAAAATTGCTTATAAAATAACCTACATTCATACGCCGTGAGTACAAAATGTGATAATCACCTGTTGGTGTTGATTCTTATAAAGTTGAGGTTGATAAAAAGTATTCTAAAAAATAAATAAAATCACTATTCCAAACAATACATAATTTTACGTCCCTCTCACAATCTACATCCATAAATCACTTCATAACACACATTTCAGGTTCACAAATCGGGTTGTTACTTTATGGTATCGACCGCCAGAACTTCTTCTTGGAGAACGAAATTATGGTCCACCAGTTGATTTGTGGGGTGCCGGATGTATCATGGCTGAAATGTGGACACGTTCCCCAATAATGCAAGGAAATAGTGAGCAGCAGCAGCTTACTCTGATATCTCAACTTTGTGGTTCAATAACTCCACAAGTATGGCCTGGAGTGGAAAATCTGGAGCTGTTTAAGAAAATGGAGTTGCCTCAGAAGCAAAAGAGGAAAGTGAGTATATTTGATTTTTTGTATCACATCATATTCGTTTTGAATGTTTCATTTTTATTTGACAGTGGTATCAGTTCAGTCTTATGTAATCTGGTAAATATTTTATAAATATGTCTGAAGACTATCAAGGAGAGATACATACCTCCTAGAAAATAATATTTCAAAATAAAATCTCAAAATATTCATATTTACCTACACCCTATAGTAAAACCAATAATGATTGAGAGTAAAGCGCGTTGTCACATCTAAATTTTACGTTACCAGTTTATTGCAGAATCAGAATATAGTAAGCAGTAGAGTTGTAGGTTGTAGCAAATTATAGGTAATACACAATACTAGTACGATTAAAAGGTATTATTTATGACAAAAATCAGTAATGAGCTTGTAATGAGTAATACTTATTGTTCAGAATACCACACTCATTAATTTTCTGGAATATTTGGTCTGTAAAATTCACCACCCAATTCGGATTTTGTTCAGCCCAAAATCTCATGTTCTGGAAAGATACAAACCATTCGTGGTGAAGGTAGCCTCATCACTGTATAAGATATACTTCAAAAAATGCTTGTCATTGATATAATTTCCCTGCATCCATACGGCGGATTTCATCTCCTTCGTGCAAGGTATTTTAATGAAGGACCCCGCACATTTCTTATGAGAAATGACTTGCAGTAAATTTTGATGTAATTTTGATCTGTTGTAGTTCTTAATGTGTTGATTGAAAGTGTTCACTGCCAAAGCACAAATATGTACAGTTTTCGATATGTGAACCTTTGATTGTTTCCATTTTTGCGTTATTTGCTCAACAATACCAGAACTCTCACTTCTGGTTGAGATAGAATTTGGATGTTCTGCACACAGAATTAGTTGTGAAAATGTTCTTCCTCAGTTATATAAGATGCCGCCATCGTTAATTTTTCATATACTGCTCCACACTATCTCGATAGTCTGAGAATGTGGTGTTTTGACATTTTCCTCATTAAGGTGGTACCTACCTCAATTACCTCAATTATTACGGAAGATACGAGGGTGTTTCAATGAGAAGTGAGACAAATTTGGATTTTTCAGGACTGACATTTTTCCAAGGGGAAAGTGTATTTATAGGTTATTGGTAGACCTGATTACGAATCTGAAGGAATTTTGAGTATATTTTACCCCCTAGTATGTTTTACCGTGAAAATGGATTGTTCCATCGCGAGTGGCGGGCAGTGTATATCACTTTGGCCAACTCCATTCAGGAAGTATGTGCATTTTGAACGTTTTCATCAGTCCTGAGAGTTTCATTATTCTACCTCAATTATTACGGAAAATACGGGGGTGTTTCCATAAGAAGTGATACAAATTCGTATTTTTCAGGAGTGAAATTTTTTCAGGGAACGAGTGTATTTATAGTAGATTGGTAGATCTCATCACGAATCTGAAAGAATTTTGAGTCTATTTTACCCCCTACTATGTTTTACCGTAAAAATGGGTTGTTCCATCGAGAGTGGCGGGCAGTGTATATCACTTTGGCCAACCCCATTCAGGTGGTATGTGCATTTTGAACGTTTTCATCAATCCTGATAGTTTCATTATTCTACCTCAATTATTACGGAAAATACGGGGGTGTTTCCATAAGAAGTGAGACAAATTCGGATTTTTCAGGACTGAAATTTTTTCAGAAAAAAATGTATTTGTGGTAAGTTGCTAGTCCTGATTACGAATCTGGATGAATTTTGAGCCTATTGTACCTTCTAGTATGTTTTACCGTAAAAATGGGTTGTTCCATCGCGAGTGGCGGGCAGTGTATATCTTTTCGACCAACCCCATCCAGGTGGTATGCGCATTTTGAAAATGTTCATCAGTCCTGAGAGTTTCATCATTCTACCTCAATTATTACGGAAGATACGAGGGAGTTTCCATGAGGAATGAGACAAATTGGGATTTTTCAGGACTGACATTTTTTGAGGAGAAAATTGTATTCATAGTAAATTGGTAGACCTGATAACGAATCTGAAGGAATTTTGAGTCTATTTCACCCCCTGGTATGTTTGACCGTAAAAATGGGTTGTTCCATCGCGGGTGGCGGGCAGTGTATATCACTTTGGCCAACCCTATTTTGTTGGTATGTGCATTTTGAAGATTTCTATCAGTCCTGAGAGTTTCATCATTCTACCTCGATTATTACGGAAGATACGGGGGTGTTTCCATGAGAAGTTACAGGTGTCAGTGCAGCATTCTTCACTGAAGTTACTCCTGCATATGCTGTTGGTGATACAACTGCCGCAATAGGTTTTCAATTATTGGAACAATTCAATTATCCTGCACTGACACCTGTCGGATATAATCCAACGCCCTTCGTGGTATTAGCCAGGGGAGTAGTTGTTTTCTGTAGGTGTCAGTTCATTAACCTACAGTGTAAGGAGTTGAGAGTGGTCTGATCGAAATGTTCCTTAAGATTTTAGAATTGAGATGATTTGATTTATAGCCAGTCTTCAAGTATGCCCACTGACTATATGCAAAAAATTGATGGTTAATTGCAACAAAAACTAAAATAGGGCAAGGGTTGCGAATCATGTAAGCAAGTAATTGTCAGTTCTCACTAGTAGAATAATGTACTCATTACTTGACTTGATTCTGTAGGGATCTTCAGCATTTTTTTAGGCCAGGTTTAAGTGTTCTGCTAGACCAATATACAGTGCCCCTAGTACTTCGTTTAGCAGGGAGAATTTGTTATAGGCAAAAAACACGTCAATTTAGATATCGAGGGGGAACCAGTGTCAGTGGTATTTTACCTTTAACCCTGTTACCCCTAACTACCCCCACNTTAATTGTAACTGACGCCAAGAAGCAACTGTGTGCCCTTATCTCACTTTCAGCTGAATCAAAAAACTCTATGTAAAAAAGAGACATAAACATACCGTTATTGAGTCAGTAGCAGCGATTCCATAAATTTTTGCATTTTGTTATAATTCATTTCCTTTTTGTCCTATTTTACGAGAACGGATCAACCAATTTCAGTTTTCTAAACTGTTAAACCTAAAATACCACTGGCACTGGTTTTAAACTTCCCCCTCGATATCTAAATTGACGTGTTTTTTTCCTACAGCAAATCCTCCTGGCTAAACGAAGTACTAGGGGTGGGGGTTTTGAAATGAAGGCACTGTATAATCTGTTGGAAAGAGGAACCATCATGCATATTTCTTATTCACATAAGATTTGTATCATAATCATGGAATAGACTTTTTCAGGTGGAATCAATACAGATAAAAAACTTTTTTCACTTTATTTATTCAGGTGAAAGAACGTCTTACCCCATACTTGAAGGATCCATATGCCTGTGATCTACTTGATAGGCTCTTAGTACTCGATCCTTCCAAACGTGATAACGCAGACACGGCCCTCAACCACGATTTCTTTTGGACTGATCCCATGCCCTGCGATCTAGGTAAAATGTTGGCCAACCACACGCAGAGTATGTTTGAATTTTTAGCCCCTGCGAGGCGTGCAACGCAAATGAGGCACCATTCGATACCTAGGCCATCTACATCTACTATTCAAGACAGTGGATATCAGGATAGAGTTTTCTAGTGGAAAGTTGGTGTTATGCTATGTGACGTTGTAGGATTGTAATGGAATAGACTGAACTGGTGCATTGTTCAGAGACTGAAATATCAAAGTGATACGTAACAGGTCAGCCAAAATGTAATCCTGCTTAGCTGTATTCCATTATCAAACATCCTATTGAATGAATGTGAAAATAGAACCAGTATGAGCAAAGCAGTAGTGCAATTTTTTACTTGAAATTGATATGGCGAAAATTTGAAACACATGACATTCAATACTTATCAGAGGTAATGTTTTTGTTACTGTCAGTGTTTTAAGGTAGAAAAATCCATACATAGTTTTTTTTAAAGGTTAATAAACAAAGTATTTTGCCTGCTACTTGTGAAACTATCAACTATACCTAAAATTATTGAAAAATGGTAATAACATTATTCACGGTTGTATCAATAAATATCGTGATACCGACTCTAGTAAGCATATTACCAACTGTTACAAATTGGAACAATATCTATAGGGGTATGGTTCGAAAGTAATCAAATGCTAACCAAAAGTAAACAGAAATTTTGACAGCCATTATCTGAAATGAATGAAATTTTATTCTTTTCGTATGTTTTTCAATGTATGATGTAGAATTGTGTTATTGAAAGAGGACTGATAGCTTTGAACCCGAAAATAATAAACTTTGTCATTAAAGTTGACGTCTGAAGCAGTGTTAGAATATTTCAGTCACTCCACTCTTTATCCTACATTTGATTAAGTTACTCTCATTATATTCAATATAATAGTATTGACATTTGGCGACCGTACAATATATACCATTCACTTGGTTGACATTTGCTTCACAGATTTTCAGAAAACCATTTTCCAAATGTCATCAATTTTTTTTTGAATATGACAGCAGCGGTTAGTTTTTGAAACACGAAACATTCACTAAGAATGTAGACCAAATTTAATCAAATGCTAACCTATACTGATCGGAAGTTTTGACAGTGGTTTCCGGAAAAACCATTAAAGGTTGGTTATCTTCGGAACACAAGTATTTATTTATAGGTTATTTGTTATATTTGTACAATGCGGAGTAAATGAAGAATTTTTTTGTTAGAAAATTACTCTTAATGTTTCAATGGAATGTTATTGAGAGAAAACTGATACTTTTGATGTCCTAAATATTCCTAAATGAAGAACTTCATTGATTTCTAAACCGAAGCAGGGTACCAAAGTTAGATTATTTCAAACTATATTATATAGGCAAAAATTAGAGTATCTCTACTCTACTCAAGGTCTAAATGTGATTGTTCACTGCTATTATACTCATTCTGAAGGTATGCATTGGCATGTGGCCACCATACAATGTTTGCTATGGTTGACTTTTGGTTCACTGATTTTCAAGAAACCAGGTTCAAAACATCACCACTTTTTTATGAATATGACAGCAGCGGTTACTTTCGAAATGCCTAATGAAGATTTTGGTTACTTTTGGGTCATACTCTTAGTTACAAGACAAAATTGAATATTTTGACATAATTAACATAATGACTTCTATCATCTGTCAATAATGATGTTTTCTGAGAACTTACTCTACGTTATTCTTGAACACAAGTATACTGATGCTTCTCTTGTACTAGTTAGGGGAGCAATATGTTAATCTAACTGGTACAAGAGAAGTATCAGTATATTTGTGTTTTGTTGACTCACTAAAGCAATTCAAATCAAAGATAGAGTGGATGTAAACATTGACATGTCCTACGCACGTGATATTGAAAATCCCAAAAATTGGCCAGGGTCGTATTCAGAACCAACATCTTGTTGATCGCAAATGCTATATCATACTTAGGAAAACTTTTTTATAATAACGAGTGAAATGCACAAGTTTTGCAGTTTAACGG